ATCCAGGCTTTTTCTCCTGTATGATGGGGATGAAGTTTTCCCGTTTGTCATGGATGAAGATGTTTTTAAAATGCGTGTCCTCCTGACCTAGCTGTTTCAAATTACCCTAAGGTCTTGTGTCTCTGGCTGCTGAGAGTGCTCTGAGGTGTGCTGAGGGCCTGGGACTCCAGTGCTGGGAAATGGAAAGGTGCAAAGATTTCTCAGGTTTTCCCTGAGGTGCTCTGCTGCTTTTGTCATCTCTTGGATAGCAAACATTGATTAAACACATGAATTCTGGGCAGTGTTCCTTAGTATTTTCACACTTGTCCTTTTATTCATGCCATATTTTGGGGATATTGAATGTTTGGGACATAGTGCAGTGGAATTCCACTTCAATTGTTATTTTACTCTGTACAACAAAATACACTACTTCCAAGAACAGCCAGGAAGATTATCTATTTTTTTCTATTTTCTCCTCATTTCTCTCCTGTCTTTCCGGTTCTCTATTGTCTGTCTTCTTACTCCTTTTTTTCTTTTCATTAAATTTCTTTTTCTCCACACCTTTGAATCTTCCAGTTCTTTCCCTTCTACCTGACCATTTGCCTTTCCCATCTACAGTTTTTCAGATGGAGTGAAGTGATTTTTTGTTTTCTCTTTGAAATGTTTTCAGCCCTGCCTACAGGGTTTGAATAACAGCCTCACCCAGTTTATTTCAGGTTGCTGCTGTTTGGCAATGCTTCAAGAAGCCACAGTGGCACCAGAGCTGGTGACAAACACAGGAAAATGCAAGGTCAGGAAAGTCTTTGGCTCTGTCACATTATTCAGCAGCTGTATTTTTTGGAATATGTGCAGGGATCTAGCTCTCTGAGGCACTTCTGCATGGACAGATGATGAGTTTATGGCATTTCTTTTGGAATTTTAAAAATCTGTTGTTTTCTGCCTTTGTCTCCATAGTATCTTTTTCTCTCAACCCACCCATGAATTTAATAGGCAGTATTGTCATATACATCCATAGATCTAGAAACTGACCACTAATTTCTAATATTTAAAACCTTTCATGATCAGTAATCAAGCCATGTTGTCTAAGGTTTGGGGTTTTTTGCTTTATATGATGCTCTAATATCTCTGGAAAAGAAACAAGAAGTTTTTAGCCAGGTATTTAGCAAAGAAATTGTTGTGTTTTGTTTTGTTTTTTTTTTAACTTTCCCGAGCAATGACTTGTCCCCAAAGCAGTACATAATGGTATTGTTCAAATACCTTTCATTAGCGAAAAACTAAATGTTCTTTCTCTTTTTTTTCCCTCCACCATTGGAATGTTTCAATGTAATCTTTATACATGTATATATTTTTATGTTCTCTATATATGTTACTCATATAGCCATATCTTATATATATATATCAGTCGGGAAGGTGAAGCAAAGAAACATAGTGGCTGTTGGTGAGTGGACTGAAGTCCCTGGAGTAACTGTTTCAACTCAGAGTAAGAGCCTGTTTCCCATGAGCTGTGTTGTCCAAGAGACAGAAGTTGCTGGCAGTGCTCTAAGCCTATACGTGATCTTATATCCCTTCTGGGCTTGGGCACTGGAACAGCTTGAAGATAAAACATAGTGAGGATGGAACTGATGGTTAATCTGTGTAAGGACTTAAAGGCCAGGTCTGGAGAGTTCAGAATAGACAATGTGTTGACATGACTTTCTGCAGTATTCTGCACAAGCTGAAGTTTCTTACGTGTTGAAGTGAGTTATGCCTGAAAACAACAGCCTGTTATACTGCTGGAAGAGAGAACATGGCTTTACGGGTTGGGGTTGTCTGGAATTCAAAGGAAGACATCTACCTGCTGAACTTATGCTGTAGATAATGTAGCTGATTTTAGATCAGATCTGTGAGTGGGCCTTTAGAGTTAGGTAGGCATTTGACAGAATTTAAGAACCTAAGAGGGCAGGCATCAAAACTCTAAAGTTAGAAATCTCTGAATATCCATGTAAATCCAAACTTCCATGTGTTAGTTTGCCTGATATCAAAGAATGATTCTGCTTTACTTCCCAAGCAGTTCTGTGAGGATGAAGAACTGGAGAAAGTTTATTTAGATAGATGCCAGTAACTAACTGATTGATAAATGAGAGGTATTAATCTGCCTGCCAACTTGTGTTACCATAAAATCTACCTTGAGGTGGATTTATTAATCAATTTGTTTTATAAAGTGACTTTTAAATGACCTTATCTGTGGTATAGTTGCATAATAACAACTATGGACACCAAAAAAATAGTTGCTAAGTGGTCAATCATATCATGTAGGCTCCTTTCATATAACCCTCCTGAGGATCTTTTTAAGAGCCTAGGAACAAAGAAAAAGGGCATCAAGTTCAAACTCTGACAGAGGGGTGACAAATAATGCAAGCTGCAAGACTGCTGAACGCCCTTAGCCACCAACCTTGATCATGTAAGCAGGTCCCCGCTGCCTTGGGGGTATGGCAGAAAGCTGTTGAATTGTGTGCGGTGAGCCGCAGCTGAGGCTGCATAGGAAGACTCAGAATTGTTTAGGTCAGAGTCAAAAATATTCACTCAATAGATGTGGCAGGCAGTGCCAGTCCCACAGTGCAATGTAGTAGCCTTTCTGCAGGTGACTCCACTTCAGAAATGTGTGTTTTTTTCCCTGTAAGTAAAAAAATTGAGATTTTTTTTTTTTTTATAGATTTATATTTTTATGTATTTCTAAAAATGGTATAAATAGTATATAAACATACTTCGTATTTTAAATAAATACAATGTGACAGATGTGTTTCACTTCATGTAGGGGGAAATGTAGTCTGAATTACATATATACTTATATCTATAAATATATATACACAATACTAAAACTGTACTATAGTAGATGTGTTTGATTTCATTTAGTAGCCTGTATGACTTTAAATAGAGTTATTTTGACAAAGAGGGATGAGAGGAATGAGAACAAATTTTAAATACTGTTTAAATCCCTTCCCTTGACTTGTACAAGAGCTGCTTTTCATTGTGTCAGTAAATTCAGATTAAGATAACTCCTTAAGGCAGATGACTTAAGTGTACCTGATTACCTGTGTCTGGTAGGAGAGGAGGCTGAAGCTCTTAATTTAGAAATTAAGCCCGTCCTTGATTTAAAGCTGAAATTTAGATTCTGCTGAAATCTCTATTTTGAGTCTTGCTTGGTGAAAAAGACCCACCAGTTAGTGTGGTCATATGACTGTTATTCAACCCTATTTTCTAGTCACACTTTTCTCACAGTGGTGGTCATGTATCTGGAGTGTTGGCGATGCAAATGCAGCTTGATTGTATAATGCCATAAAATACTTGACTATCAAGCAGTAAGAAAAATCATCCTGTTTTATGACTTCTTCAATGACTTGTATGGAAAAAAATTGCATTATTTCCTGCTTTCACAGAAGCTTTCACAGTATTTCTATTTCACTGTTTTCTGCAACTTTTTGAGACCTGGAAAGAAAGAATTGTTCTATTCTTGACTTACTAGAGGTCAAGTCAGCTGTTTCTCACTGGAAAATGTAGTCTGTGTAGGTGGACCAAAAACTGAGGGATTACTGTTCAGAAATACAATTTGTGTTCACTTAATTCATTAATTGTTCTACGGAAGTGAAAAAAATGAAAGATTCCTTTTCCCTCCATACCCATTTCCTGGAATGCCAAACAATCACATTTTAAATATATTGACATATTTTTACAGCAACAAGACGTCAGTCACTTCTGTCTCTTTATGCAGTGGTTTCCTTTTAGTGTGGACATGCACGTGATTGCAGAATTGAACAGTTATTAGTCAGGTTGTTGATTATTTATGACAAGACTGTCTGAACAAACTCTTAGTAAAGCTATTTCTTAAGCTTCTTGCTTTCAGCTTGCTTTGGGATGCTGTCCTAGAAAATTATGTGCTGTGTGACCATATTTTTTACAAATTCAATATTATCAGATATGGACCACAGTCAGCAAAAATATGAAAATGAGACTGACCTTGATTGCAGTGGAGTTTGGAGTCTGAACTGACAACCAACTTCCCTTCTGGTTTTCTGTGCCTCTGATTTGTTGTGTCCATTTTCAGTATTGGTGTTTGGACTGAGTTTAGTAAGCAACACTAAATCTCCAATGAACTAAATATTTAGTGTGCTAAGGTCTATTCAGTTGGGTATTTGGTATTGGTCTGTAGTTCTGTACCTTCACTAGCTGTATTTCTTGAGGCCTCATAGCAGGTAGCCAAATGAAGAAGCAAAATTTTCTGCTGGCTGTTTGTGTAACTGGTGACCTTGAGTACAATGACAAACCAAGGCGTTGTTCAATATCTTATTTCTCTAGAACTTCTTTTAGTTATCTTGTCTTTTTTCTTGCAATTACGTAGCATTTTCCTTGTAACATTGCTCATCACTAGAATGCATGAGAACACAATCTGAAGCCATAAGAGGCCACAACTGTGGAGCAGTGGGAGTCTTAATCTGTTTATGACAGAAGATGTTTGTTTCTCTGCTTTTCTCTTGTGAGTTTGTTGTTTGGTTTTGTGCTGGGTTGTTGTTGTGCTTTGTTTTTTGTTTTTTGGGGTTTTTTTTGTAAAAAAGCTTTTTTAAGCATCATGATGTAAACACAGAAGCTTATTATTTAGTTGCAGCAGTGTGCCAGATGATCATGAAACAAGATCTAGTCTGTGCTTGGGAAAGTTTTATTCTCTCTACCTTTAAAGAGATACCCAGCAGAGATGATCCACTGGGATGTGGAGGTTTTTTGTATATATTTTTCAAGGCCACGTGGCAAATTTCTTGATCCTGTCCCATCATAAATGTAAGATTTCATTACTAAAAGGTGTTTGGCAAGGAGGGGTGAGCAGGAATAGGTCTGCTACCACTTGAAGCTGAATTCAGGTTTTGCTTGGTTATCACGATGGCTGAATTCAGCATGAATTACATGCCAGCTGTACAGGGCAGCCAGTTTCTGCTGGCCTGTTGGGAACCAGCTTGAAAGACATTTCGCTTTGATTCACTCTTACTTTGCAGCAGATGAAGAGGAGAAATATTTTCCAGTGAGGTGTTACTGCAATATAATTGTGCTGCAAGAAGAATTACCACAGGGATACCAGTAAGCCTCTGAATGTCTTAGGGAACAATGGTAAGCATTGGGGCTGAAATGTTGATTATTTTCCCCTTTATCTTCATTTATTGACCCACATGGAATATATATTTAAATTTCTTTTTTTGTCTGAATTGGGTTATATCGTATATTTGGTAAGCCTTAGTTTGCATTGTATCGGATTTTACATCTTCACTGTAAAATTCGCTAGGATTTTGGTCTGCCTGATGTATACAAGTGCATCCTTAACTTAAATCTATCCCTCTTGATTGTTCATTTGCTAGTTTCATCCACTTGCTACCATAAGTATCAGATATGCAATAAACTGGTCAGGACAAGCAAAGGAAACTCCAAACAGTAGCAGACAGTTCAGATGTGTTTGGCCACTTCTTCTTAAATACCTTATGAAACTGTCTGTAAATGTCAGCTAAACTAAAGCTTGGAAAAAGAAAACGTGTTTTGCTGGTAATTTGTGTTAAATGAAGAAGTAATGGTGATTGACAGTAAAGAAACAGTCTAATAACCTTAAAAGTCTTGGGGTTTCATTAATATCACTGTGTCAGACCTTGATGTTAAGATCTCAGAACACAGTGCACAGCACAAGTTGTATTTTGTGATGTGGAGCCATTATTCATGTGCTGTTCTGCAGGACTCTTTCATCTGTTTCTTTTGAAACAGTGTGGAGCTGGGGGGGCTTTCAGAGGAAATGATCCAGAGCAACCCTGGAAATGGGGTTGCTTAATGTTTCTTCTCTCCCCTCCTCCCTGATGGCTGCACTAGAAAAAAGTTTTTTGGTGTCCTTTATGTACCTTATAAAAAGCATCTTCTAATGAGTTAGACTGAATGGAGGGGCTGACAAAATCTTCACTTTGTTTCAGAAATTTTAGAGACCTTGGTGGAGTCATGCCCATGATTAAATATCAAAGCCTTGGACTTCAAAGAAGTGTTTGTGAAGTCTGCATGTGATTTTTTTCAGGGACAAAAAGCACATTTTGCTTGAACATCTACCTAAATCTAGTCTAGTAAGCATTAAAGTAATTTTTTACAGTTCTGGAGGTCTTGCGAAGTTCGCAGATGTGACTTAGATATAAGCAGTTCCTGCAGGGGCTGATGAAGGCAGGGGGGAAAAAGAAAACCAGAATTGAAAAGACCTGTAAATGTGATCGGAGTGGCATAACTGCTGGTGTGGAGAAGGTAAGGAACCACCTAATTATTGAAGGACAGAGGTGAGATAATGTGAACCCCTCAGCAGCTTGGGTTGTGAATTTTCTACACTTGGAAGGTCAATGTCACAGTGACAAAATATTACTAGTAAATATGTTGTTAATATTTGATGTACTCTATAAATTACCTTAGATGTTTGGGGGAGCTGTGTAGGTTTTTGTTTTGTTTTTCTTCCTGTAAAACTTGTAAATTAGCTTTCCACTTTTTGGGATTACATTTTTTTGTGTGTGAGATTATTTTCTTTCTGGTTAGTCAGTTGACAACTCTCCATCGGGGCTCTGAAGCCTAGGATAAAGATGGTCTGCATGGTCCTGTCCTATTGCTGTCTTTAGAGTGATATATAGGTATTATAACCCCTTCTTTTAGCTCACTTTGTGCTCTTAATCTGCCTCAGTTGGTTGTTGCAGCGACAAAGTTGTGGTCTCAGCATATTGAAAGTGTTGGAAGAAAAATGCAGGATAAAATTCATAGTGTACTCAAAATATTTATTGTTCTTTCTAAAATTAACAGCAAACCGATTGATTTGTCATGCTCTTGGGAATGGAAATATCTGGCTCTGTGAGTTGCAATATCATCACACTGGAAAAGGGGCATAATAAATGCCTGGCTTATGAAAGACCTTTTCAATCTTGCCTGGGTAGCTGAGGTTAAGGAATGTCATAAGTAAATTTTGATGCTGGTGAGAGAAAACTTTTAACTAGTGGTGAAAATGACAGGAATTGGAAATGAGATTTTTGCATGTGTAATGTTTGACAAAGGCCTGTGACCAAAAGGTATTTACTGCTTCCTCTCGTATTTTGTCAGTGTGGGTTTTTTCCTTTCTGCTTTCTACATGAAGTTCCATCAGACAGGGGGATGTATAGCCTACTGCAAGTGCAGTAAGAAGTTAGCTATTGCTGTTTTACAGCAAAGTTGCTAGAAAAAAACAAACCCAACAGGCAGCAGCTGACAGTGTGATTTCCAATGGCAGAAATGTAGAGTATTAATTTAAGGAAATAATGAAGTATCTTTCCTTTTCGTGCTGTTTTTCAGACTGCTCTGCAATGACTACAGCAAGATACAGGCCTACCTGGGACTTGGTACTTGACCCATTAGTGTCCTGCAAGCTCTGCCTTGGTGAATATCCCGTGGAGCAGATGACAACAATAGCACAATGCCAATGCATCTTCTGTACCCTGGTGAGTTTGTGTTCTATATTAGGTATAAAAACCAAAACATAATTTGAACTACATAACTTTTATGTTTCTGCTGTGTGGGTTTCACACTGAAGTATTGATGTTGCAGTGGAAATAAATACTGTTTCTGTGTACTTGACAGAAATGCTAGCAGGTAAACTTTTGTTTTCCTGTTAAAAATTTTTTTTTTTTTACTTGGCACTTGAACATACTGTATACCTACTTGGCAAGGTTACTCATGCTTTCCTTTTCGTCTCTCAGTGGCTTGGATTTGGGGGTGGCTTTTTGATTGGCTGGATTTTGGTTGAGTGCTTTGGTGGGGGGGTTTTGTTTGGTTTTTGGTTATTTTTTTTAACTTTAGAAGAGAATAGAATCTTTCAGTTGGAAGGGATTGTTCTGCAATGTTCATCAGTCCAACTGCCTGATCACTTTAGGGCTCATCAAAAGTTAAAGCATGGTGTGAAAGGTGTTGTCCAAATGCCTCTTAAACACTGACAGGAGGCTGCTGCCCCAAGCCTGTCTGTGAAGCCTGTTCCAGTGTTTGGTCACCCTCTTTGTAAAGAAGTTCTTCTTAATGTCCAGTCTGAACCTTCCTGGTGCAGCTTTGAACCATTCCTGCATGTCTTCTCACTGGATACTAGGGAGAAGAGGGTCAGTACCTCCCTCTCTACTTCCCCTCCTCAGGAAGCTTTAGAGAGCAACGAGTTCACCCCCTCAGCCTCTTCCTCTCCAAACAAGACAAACCTAAGGTTCTCACCTGCTCCTCACATGAACATGCCTTTCAGCCCTTTCATCAGCTTTTTTGTCCTTCTCTGGATGCATTCAGATTCCTTCACATTCTCCTTAAATTATGGGGCCCAGAACTGCACACAGCACTCCAGGCTGCACCAATGCTGAATACAGGAGAAAAATCACCTCTTTTGACCAGCCAGTGAGGCTGGAATGGGGTTTGCCCTCCTGGCTGCCAGGGCTCACTGACTTGTATGGAGCCTGTTGTCACCCAGCACCTCCAGATCCCTTTCTGCAGAACTGTTCTCCAGGCACTCCTCTCTGAATTTATACTTGTGTCTGGTGTTACTCAATATGAGGTGGAGAATCTGACACTTTAACTTTTTAAATTTCATGCCATTAATTGTAGCCCATTGCTCCAGTGTCTCTAGATCCCTCTGCAAGGCATCTTGTCCCTCAAGAGAATCAACAGCACTTCCTGGTTTTGTATCATCATCAGTCTTGCTAATGGTGCGTTCAACTCCTGCATCCAAGCAGTCTATAACCATATTGAACAGAACTGACAGTAGAATTGAGCTCAGAGAAAGTGCTGGTGACTGATTGCCAGACAGATGTAACCCCATTCACTATAACCCTTGGAGCCCAGTTCTTCACCCAGAGCACCATGTGTATACTTGCTCATCTCACAGCTGGACATCTTGTGCAGAAGGCTACTGTGAAGGACAGTATCAAAAGCCTTACTAAAATCCAGAAAAAATATGTCCACTGCCTTTCCTTCATTCACTAGGCAGCTGACCTTGTCATAGAAGGTTATCAAATTAGTTAAAACAGACTTGCCCTTTGTGAACCCATATTGACTGTGCCTGATGATTGCGTTATTCTTCAAAATGCCTTTCAACAGCACCCAGTATTGCCACACACTTGTAACTACGAAAGTATTTAATGTATTATAGACTTTAATTTCACTGTATCATAGTTAGTCTCATAACGGGTTTCCATTACTGTATTGTACAAATGCTTGCCTGGAATAACAAGCATATTGTCAGTTAAGTACAAAACCCTGGCAATATGGTCACATACTAATATGACAAAGATCATCATCATCATCACAGTTAATGTATATTGATGGTTTTTTGAATAGAGAATGAAAACTAGTACTAATTTTTCTTACCTAATAATGATTTGAAATTAAAATTTTAGATCCTTAAATTTTGCAGTGGGTGCAGGTACACCAAAAACTTTGTAACAACGATTCAACAGAGGAAGAGTTGGAGTATTATCAGTAAGAATATAATTTCTGAGGTACATGATGCTCAGACTTTAATTTCCCAAGAGTTTTGACATGGTGTTACAGATTCAGAAATGGGATTGAGTGACTTTTTCTTTTTTGTTAAATCTGAAAGTCCTTTTCAACAAAGTTGTTGGGTGTGTGTTCTTAATGTTCAAGATCAAGGATTTTAGTTACTTTTTAATTTTATTTTTCTTCATGTAAATACTGTCTTTAAATAATAGATTTTTTTTTTTTCCCTGATGGGAAAAAGAACAGCCAATAAAACAGACAATTCCAGTTTGAAAGGAGTGTTTGCTTAAACATGCAAAAGTAGGTAAAATTATATTCATGAAATCTGTTCTCCACTGTTCTAGTACTTACAGCTGAGTATTCTGTTTCTCCCTGTTGCTTGGGTGTGGAAAATACTTAAATTTCAGTTTTCAGTAACATTTCAATGGTAGCAGAAAGACTGGGTTACCAGATACACCTTTTCATCTTCACCTGGTTCCTTCTAATGTTTGCTACTGTCACTGATCTGTTTCTTGGTAGAGTAACTGACTCTTACTGCTCATTTGAAAGATACAACCAGTTAGAGACATTAAATATGTAACCTTTGCCAATAATCTGTACTTAGCAGCTGACATAAGTAACATGGCTGTGGTGAACTGGGTTTTTGTTTTGAGCTCTATTCAGGTGGAATCACCAATTCACTTGTATTTGGCTGTTTAAATAGTTCATTCGGCCTTGTCCTGTTTAAGGAAATTGGTGTAGTTTGTCTGCCTCTTGTTTGTCACCTTGCTTCACTACAGTGATGTTTGAGCACCCTGAAAAATTATTTATCCTAAAGTGCTACCGTAAATTAATAGGAAATATTACTTTTGCTTTCATTGGTGATGGTGAAGGAAGAATTAAGAATCAGTCAAATAAATGCAAGATGCAATAGCTGTAAACCTGTTACAGTTCCAACTTTCATCTGAAATCCAAGGCCTTCATCTCAACCTGCAGGCTGTCCCAAAGGTAAATAAATTGCTGAAGAAAATACTCCCCTAAATCAGGCAACATTGTTTAGCCTGTTGGCAATTGTTAAGGAAAAGTGTGAGAGCTGTTCAGATTCCTCCTCTCCTGTTCCTCCAGTGACAATTTCCATAAACATCAAGGGCATTGCAGTCTTTAGTATGAACTATACTTTGTAAATAGCCAAACTAAAATTGTTTAAAACCGACAGGAAAAAAAACCCAAGCCTTTTGATTCAAAATTTTGCATGGAGTCTATGTACAGTACATCCACTACATCTATTTTGTTTTTGATTGACCAGTATATAATTTTTTTTCTGGCTGCTTGCTTTTATGTAAATGAACAGAGATAATTGATGGCCTCTCCAGGGATATGAGCAAAAGAGAAAAAGGAATGTCTGTTACAGGTGTGAGAGCTACTTTTGCTGCAGCTTCTGTCACCAGTTCTAGCCTTTCTGTCTAAATCACAGCAAGCTGAGACAGCATCAGTATGTATTACAAAAATCTTTGAAATTAAGTGCTAGTGGTATGTAGGCAGAACTTGTATCAATGTACAGGTCTCTCAATCCTATAATATTTGTATATTATAATACTCTTTATAATCATAGAAGTGCTGTAGTAAAGATCCCGTGAAGAATTGTCTCTTCCTGACACTTATACAGTAGCACAACTTTGCTATTCAGAAAAATAGAATGGGGACACTGTTTCCTTTTGCTTTCTGGCAGAGCTGTGTGGGGATTGAATAGAGCAGACTGCCACTCTTCTGCTGATAAGGCATAGGCACTACAATTTCCCATTGTATTACTTTGCAGTTGTGACTATTTAGTACCAATTACTCCATTTAATACTCCATTATGTTTTTTATCATTATGATCGTTAATGTGCATGCAGTGCTGTGAGCTCTCAAGTTTTGTGTACCTCATCCATTAGGAATGTTACAAGAATGTATTTGCCCTGGCACCTCAAGCAAATCCTTGTTGGATTGCTCAAGGTACCAGAGGAACAAAAGTCTAGAGAGTAGAAAGAAAACAAGCAATCTGCTGATGGCTTTTAGTTTTTCTGAGTATTATCGAGAGGCAGACTACTATCTCTCTTCTGGAATCATGTCAACAATAGGACTAATCTTAAGTGTGCTCATCAATTCTGGACCAAAACACTTAAATAGCTTGCTTTTTATTAAATCATTTCCCACCTAAATAGCACACAGTACATAGTTAGTAACTTAAATTTTAAGATAGTTGCTTAACAGTTGCTTACCCCAGCAGAAGCAATTGGTTGTACATGTTTTCTTCAGAAATCTTTCCTCATAACACTTATAGAAGGAGAGTAAAGCAGAGAACACTGCTTTTTTCTATTTTTTTTATTAGTTACTGCACTAAATCTTTTCACTAATTACTTAGCCTTTTCTTTTTTGAAGGGTTAGCAGGAGATAAGGAGGGAGCAATTTTAGTCGATTTGATGTCTGAAATTCTGATTATTTTGTAATCTATGATGAAATTCTCATGGGTCTTAAAGGAGAGGATGTTTTCTTGATGTGTTACCAATTATATCTGTGCTAAAGTTACAACAGGTTTTTGTTCTAGTTGATATTCTTGCATTTAAGCAGTTAGTTGCTTGACTGTGTTCCGATTCAGATTTATATGTACATCTGTGTACATAAATACTATATAATTTATATATATAGAAACATACACATGGATCTGTCAATGTGTTGCAAGTACCATGATGGCACTAGTTTACTCAAGACATGCTAAGCTCCTTTTGACCTCATATTAGATTGCTCAATTCCCTTCAAGGTATTATGCAGTGCCGATCATTCTGGTTCTGGAGGATTCATTGCTTACTTTTCTCAAATTTAAAAAGAAAATCAGTCAAGTAGGTAGTCCAGGCAAGAAAACATCTAGAAGAAATATGAAGCCTAACAGAAAACTTGTCTTTAATGGACAAGTTTATTTTGATTGCTCATTTGCAGTCCACCTTGTTCCTAATGG